CCGTTCGGCATACAAGGAAGGTAATGTGGCTAGCACTACGCTTCAAACCGTCATTATTAGCTAAAAGATATGGTATAAAAAATATGGCAGCTAAAAGATATGCCGTGCGCACCCAGGAACGACAGAAATGGATTTCTGGAGACGGGCTGCAGGTAAATCCAGAAGAAAAAGATGTACGAACAACAGAATTCGAGAAATTATGGAGGCCTATCGAACAATAGCTGATGACATAAGAACAAAATAATTAATATGGTATGGCCACGTACAAAGAATGGCTTCTAAAACAGATCCTCAACTGGACACCAACGGGACGACACAAAAGGAGTAGACCACGCAAGCGCTGGAGAGAAGGAATGGACAAGGAGCTAAAAGAATGAGAGCTCGAAGGCGACCTCTGGCCAGATAGGGAGCACTGGCGACTGGACATCGGAAAACGTCGAAGAACGTTTTAAAACCGATTGATATGTATATAAACATTAACATGCATAACCAATTACCAAATTATATCAACTCGTTTTAAATTCTTAATTGAAATAAGAGAAATTAAAATTTGATTATTAAAAAGAACTAATGAGTTATAAACCATTAGAACAAATAACTCATTTTCAAATTTTCATTTAAAATAATACCAAGTTAATTAACGTTTTTTTTGAATTTAGCAAAATTTTGTACTTGTTTTATTTTTAGTTTATTGAGTAGTCATCAACGTGATCTAATGTAATATCATTAACAATTATACCGGTTTCCTAAAATAACAGGCACTTGATTTTTAAACTATAAAACGAGCTATAAAATAATTACATAAATTAGAGAAAATATAACCTCCAAAAATGTTTCCTTGTTGTCAAAAATAGACATAACCCCACTCGATATTATAATCTTACTTAGTTGCAAAATTTCATTTTATTTTTTATTGATTATTATTTTATTACACGTCCACAAGTTAACACTAATTGAAAAAACACACCATCTTCTAACACTAGCTAACTGAACCAAATCAAATGCAGTTATTTTTAAATAAGTCATTTACGCATAATTAAAAACAATCCCGTTTTAGTACTAAGGAAACCGACACCGAAAACGCGGACCGTTTGAAAAACTTAAAAATATAGTCACGACAGGAGACCAACGACACGTCGGACTGCACTACATTCGGCACAACCGGAAAACTGCCAGGTGAGCCAGCATATCAACGGAGTTTTTTTTTCTGTCGACCGAGTCGTGTCGGGATGAAAATAGGAGAACGGGACATTATTTCAAGAAACCTTGTGCTCGTCTATCTTAAAAAGTGATTTGTATTTAAAGTTTTTTTTTTTCTGATGGGATTATTACTGACGTAGGAATCTGAAGGTTAAAATAAAATATATAATTAATTAAAAAAGTTATACAGCATTTTTTATTCAGTTTTGAGTATTTTATGGAAAGATACTGCCGAATGTTTGTTAAATTCTATTAATGAATATAAACTGAGTTTCTCTCACCAATTAAAGCAAAAATGGATTGGAGCAGTTCACAACCGAAACAAGTGAGTTAGACGATTTTGATGATTTCTAAGCAATTTGTAGTTAAATTATTTCACTTTTTAGTATCTCTTTTTAAGTTAAAATTGAAAGTTCCTATCTATCAATTATTCGAGGGAATACAAAATGATGTCATGTTGGTGAATGTTTGGAACACCCTGGGGAATATGTTAAAAAAGCAACGAATTTGAAAATAATTTTATCGACTAGGTGCATCTTTTCTCGATGGGTTATTTTTTGGTTCATCTCAATAGCTTTTATTTCTTGAAATATTCCCTTTTGAAGAAGACACAACCATTTTTTCGTAATTTTTGCTTTAGCACCATGCCTTTGTTTTGGTCCCAGTCAACAGACCTATGAAATAGTGTTTGTGATTTATGTAATCATATTATAAATATATAAATGTCACAATCATATTATTATTGTCTGTTGGCTGTTTGGTTTGGTTTAGCAGTTACTCTAGCAGAGATAGTTGGAGTGCAGAAGTTGTATCCGCTTTAGTTGTAAAATTATGTCGCTAACAGATTTTTTAGGTATACACGAAGTACAGTGCGGTCGCTTCCTCGAGACAAGTTCATTTGTTATACGTACAGGAATCTTCGTATGAGAACTTCGAATCAAGACGATCGACTTATTGTAAGTTTATCGCTAGAAATAGCCGTTTTCCATTTTTTTTTAAATTTATAATGAATTGCACCCAAGGAACGCTTGTTACACAATGGGTCATTGCCAGACTAATTGGAATTGACATAGGGAATATGGTTTTATTGTAAGCACACCATATCCTCAACGAGTAAGACGGAAAACAAGGAGGGAAGATCGGTATCTTGTTCAAGCTACCCTTCGTGAAAGAACACGTAAGTACCACAAGAAATCGATAAATTATTCTTATTATCATCACAAGACCTCGAAGTTCAACTCAAACTGTAATAAATGGGTTACATTAAGTTAACATTCGATCAAGGCGAGCATTCGATGCTGTACCGCATTTAACTGCTAATCATCGTAGGGCACAAATGATATTTGCTTAAGACTCTATTACGCTGTACTTTTCGGGTCGCTCTCAGGGGTCGGGTAAAGCGGGTGTGTGGCCAAAGGAAATACATATTATATTTTAGAAATCTACCTAGGGTTTAGCCCGATCCTGTCGTGTTAAGCCACACCCAAAATTCCAAACACATGTGCTTTGATTAAGGTTTGCAGAGCTTCAGCATTTGCCATAAAACAGCGAGCAATTTATTATAAAACAATATATTTTCGTATTGTAACGGAATTTCAAATAATGTCTTTATTTTCGAGAAAATTTAGTCCAAACATAAGGAATATTTTGTTGATGTTTGACCATAAAAGTCTTAAAAATAAAGAAGTTGTCTAAAATTTTACTACAATACAGATATAGTATAATCTTTTATCTTTAATTTCATTTCTAGCCAATTTTATATAAAACATTAAAAGCCGAACGCTTATTTTGCTACTTTTTCGGACTAGTGAAATGGACTCTTAAAAACATCCTCACTGGGGCGCGGGTTAGTAAAAGCACGTCCTTTTTACGGACGAGTCTCGTTTTCGACTAAGTCATAATGAAGCCCAGCGTCGAGTATACAGAGGACCGAAAAAATAGTATCTGGAAGCCACAGTCGGAGAAACGATTCATTTTGAAGGCGGTATAGCAAAGAATAACTTTAACGTTTTAAAGTTTCAAGACGGCACAGTTAATGTCGAACGAGGCAGAGATGAGATGTTTGCACCATATGTAATTCCATCGGCTTTCAAAATTCATTTTATAACAGAATAATGCCAGGCCTCATACTGGAAAAGTAGTAGTCGATACCTTCACGACTCCAATATCACAATTATGGCTTGGCCTGCTAATAGACCTAATCTCAATACTAATGACCACCTTTGGGACCTACTAAAGAGAAGACTACAAAATCATTCGCAAGCAACAGATCTTCAAACGTTGGAAGAAAATCTTTAAGAGGAGTGGAACGACTTTCCTCAAGAAATTGAGATGATTTCCTCAAATTCGTTTCGTTGGCAATCTCCCTGGATATTTTCGTTCCTTCAAAGTTTTATTGGCATAAAAATACTAAAAATGATTTAAAATATTTAGAGATTTTCTATGTAGAAAGTACCTGTAGCACAAATCTATTAAAAAAATGCAAGACTTACAAGAGTCCTGTAGTAAGACCAAGACCAAGTCTGTAGTAAGACTGAGCCTTGATCTTGCATTTGCTCATCATTACAGCTAATTTAGAAACTTTTTTGGCAAACTTTATCTCTGCACATTTTTCTTTAAATATAGCTCTCGAGGGGTGTCTCACTCGGGTAATAAATGTACACGTACTGCCAAAATATCCTTCCACTGCTAAGCGACTGCCAATGACTATGAAGAAGACTGCCTATGACTGCCATGTAATTATTACAGGTGACTGCCATAAGACTGCCAGCGACTGCCAAGAAAATGTACATGTAATTCCAATAGTGAGACACCCCTCGATAGCTCTAATCTAACAAAAATGAAAGAAGAAAATACTCCATTATTTCTCTAAAGATAATAACCGCCTAAATAGCGGGCGCGTCTCAAAAGTGGCTCACCCCTATAACTTTTTTATTTTTTTTAGGTAATAAATTTTGGTAGTATGATATAAATTAGGATGGAACAGGAGATTTGGTATGTCAGTATATGACATAAATTTGGATTGATTGACGTATTCAATTATACTTTTCACTTCCTGTTTAACCGGAAATGACTACAGGTTTGGTACTTACTGATTTTTAAATTGCACCCTCGGTATTTTTGTTACTTTATTCGATAGAAAATGACACTCTGAATTCTATTCATTCACATATTCATATCATATGTCAACTTTTGACTTTTTCGAATATGGTTGGAAATACCAAGTGTGTGATACCAAATTATTCGTAAAAAAAATGCTTTTCCAAATATGCTAATAAGCCACACTCGTTCCATTTGAAAAAAATGAAATATGATTAAAAATACGATTTCGGCAACTTTTAACGGGCCAGGAGAAAACACTAAAAACATTAGAAGATCAAATCTATTTTTCCAAGGCTCCTTGATTAAAAATTAGTGTTTTTAACACAACCATGGCACTCTAGATTGAATTTTAAAATACAATTTTGTTTTAAGCGAAAAAAGTCAAAAGTTGACATATGATATGTTATTATATTCAGAGTGTCAGTTTCTATCGAATAAAGTAACAAAATACCGAGGGTGCTATTTAAAAATCAAAAGTTGTAGTCATTTCCGGAGAAACAGGAAGTGGACGAAAAAAATAATTGAATACGTCCAATCAATCCTAATTTATGTCATATACTAATATTCCAAATCTGTTTTTTTTTTTATTTGAAAAAATAAAAAAGTTATAGGGGTGACCCACTTTTGAGACGTACCCGGTATATTCTCGCGCTTATTTATTTACACCAAAATGTGAAACATCTAAAATTGAAACTCACCCGAGTTTAGCTGTGTCTCCCGCTCCATGACAGGTGATCCAGATCGGCTGGAGCTAGGTTCCTGGACTTCAGTTTTGGTAGATGACTTCGGCCGTGTCGGATATTTGTTTTGGCTATGGCGGCGATGTCATCTTCAGCGGAATCTCCGCTGCCGCCGGTCGGCGGCGAGCCATGGCCGCCATTTTCAAACTGGCCGACGGGTGGAAAACCAAAAGTGCGCCATTTTCTTACGCCTGAAATGAGAAAGAACAATTTAAAGGAGTAATTTGAATGCTCTGGAGAAAAGCTGTAAAAAACAAGGCATTTCATCGTCGGGTTCCAATTCCACGATCAACCATACGACGCTGAGGCTGCAAGGAGAACGACAGTTTGTATTGAAATGAGATTTAGTAAGCATTTTTTTAAACACAGCGAGGGCCACTGAAAACTTACAATGGCTATAATTTTTAAACCAAAAAAGATATCAAAAAAGTAGAAGAAAACCGTTTCTATAATATCAAGGGGAAATATATATGACGTATTTTTTGAACCACCCCGACCTACTCCTTAGGCGGCACCCCTACTCACTTGAAAATCTTAAACGGCAACACCCCACTTGTGGCGCCTTTTTGGAAAACCCATGAAAAATGCTAAACGATGATCATAAAGTTTTTAGGGTGAAATTGAAAAACTACCCCTTACACAAAAAATTAGGTGGACATTAATGAAAAAAGTGATTTTTCCAGCATAAGTTACAAATTGGAACCCAGCTAAATGAGGCAAATGAGGTATTTTTCAAACCACCCCGACCCACTCCTAGGTGCCACCCCCTCACTTCTAATCACAAGATAGCGATACCCCACTTGTGACACTTCTTTGGAAAGCTAATTGAAATTGCTAAACGATGGTCATACAGACTTCAACTTAATTACTGGTAAGTAGTGATATGAAATGTAGATGTGACAATTTGAAAGAAATTTAAAATGATAATTTATTTTAACAATTGCTCAAAATGACAGCCATTTTGTTCCATACAAAAATACAAACGATTTTCAAATTCTTTTCTCACTTTTTGGAAAGTCTCTCTCGGAATATTTCGACATGCTTCAGTTATCCTCTGCCACAAATCTTGCAACGTACTTGGTTTTAATCAAACCACCGCTTTCGGACAATAGAATAATTTGGAGGGGCTCCGTCTTACTGAAAGTGTATGAGATCTTCACTAAGAGCTTACTTCCAAATCTCTTTCATTTTCAACCTCATTTACAATGGCTGGCTCTATCAAATTGTTCAGCATTTCCACATAAGCATCACTAGTCAAATTTCCGTCGATGAAAAATGGACCTACAATTTTATCGCCTAGTATTCCGCACCAAACATTGAGCTTTTGGGGATGTTGGGTGTGTCCATCAACAAAAATATGAGGATTCTCATCGCTCCAGTATCTGCAGCTCTGCTTACTCACATTCCCGTTTAAAAAAAATGAGCACTCATCACTAAAACAAATATTTTTAGTGAGTGAAGGTTCCCTTCGAATTTTCTCCGTCATTAGTTCAAAGAACTGAATCCTTCTATCTGGATCGTCGTCGTCAAGTTCCTGCACAATCTTCATTTTGTAGGGATGGAATTTGTGCACTTTCAATATTCTTCTAACAGATGTTCGAGGTATACCTGTGATTGATGCCAACTGGCGTGTTCTGGATTGACCGATACCTGTCCAATAACTTCCATCTGCATTTCTTCATTCAGTACCCTGGGCCCTGTCCTTTTTTATTTTTGATCGATCCAGTTTCTTGAAACTTTAGAATCAAATCTCTAACATGTGACTTACGTTTTTGTCCAGATTTCTCTCATTGAAAGCACGGGCCGTTCTCAAATAGCACATACCTTCAGCATCATAAAGAAAAACTATTTGAATTCTTCCACAGTATAAACATTATTCTTTCAAATAAGCAAATCAAATAAAGGTTTAAAATACCACCAAATTTGCAAACGATTGAAAATCGATAGAAAGCAGTGCAAAAACCGAAAAGATATGCCCTTTGTTGAAAGTAAAAAAATAGATGATAAGGAAGAATTTGCGTTATCGCAAAATTAGGCCGAACGATTAATAAAACAGCTTTGAGTTGCCTTTTTTATTATCTACATATTATATTTTTAGCTTCAAAATGGCAATGGTTTCAAAATGGCATTGATGAGATTAGAAGTGAGGGTGGCACCTAGGGGTGGGTCGAGGTAGTTTGAAAAATACCTCATTTGTCGTATTTAGCTGGGTCCAAAATTGTAACTTATGCTGAAAAAATCACTTTTTTCATTAATGTCCACCTAATTTTTCGTGTAAGGGGTAGTTTTTCAATTTCACCCTAAAAACTATAATCATCGTTTAGCATTTTTCATGGGCTTTCCAAAAAGGCGCCACAAGTGGGGTGTTGCCGTTTAAGATTTTCAAGTGAGTAGGGGTGCCGCCTAAGGAGTAGGTCGGGGTGGTTCAAAAATACGTCATATATATTTCCCCTCGATATTATAGAAACGGTTTTCTTCTACTTCTTTGATATATTTTTTGGTTTAAAAATTATAGCCATTGTAAGTTTTCAGTGGCCCACCCTGTATACAGTTCATACAGTATACAGGGTGTCCCCTAAAAAAGTTGACAAATCAAAATTGCGTTTTTTGTAATGGAACACCCTATACATATTATCAATTTATTTTCGGTTTCTAGGGGAAAATAAAGGTAAATTCCACTAAAGAAGCATATGACTAAAAAAACCCAACCCAAAAAGTTATACAGGGTGAGATAAAAGTAATAACAATACATTTGACACCCTTGCTTTGGAACAATATGTTACGGGTTCGTTAGGTCGTTCGTTCCCCGACAGACGTCGCCACAATAACATCGTCTAAGGTCACAATTTCGATGATTGATCAGGAATCGGTGTTTCATCATATCATAACAGGGCCGTTCTCATCATGAACAAGACTGTGATCCAGTATCCAGCGCGACGAAACAATTTTCATGAGTAATGTGCAACGTAAAGAGTGTTTTTCGAGAGGGTCAGAATTGAGAAGATGTAATGCCACTGAGAGAAATAAAAACGCCATATTGCAGGAAAAACGAGCATAGTGAAATTATTTGTGGTTGTCCGTTGCTGTTCCATGTTTAAAAATTATAAAATGCCGCCAAAGAGCATAAAGATAAGAGTTAAAAACACTTTAATATATAAAACAGTTTGCTTTTTTACAAAATTTCTCTCAAAATCTATTTAATCAACTTATGAATATAACTGAAATTGAGGATTAGTAAGAAATTCGATTGATTTGATTTTAAATCGGGCAATTAGATTCTCCGAGACGAAACCGGTTCTGTTTTGTGTCTCGTTTACTCCCACCCATCCAGTTTCATCTGCTTTTATCTCTCTATTCACTTGTCAGCATCTCCGTGTTTATAGAATAAACATCACGGGACCAGTTTTATTACCTACGTAAAATGATAACACGCCTAAATAGATGTACCTTACAAGTGTAGTGACAATAAACGGAAAGTAAAATTAAGAACAAATAATAAGCAAATATAAAGCTGAATATTTTATTATTCGGTGTTATTTCCTGATAAACCAGAAATATACATATAAACAAAGATAGAACGTATATTTATTTGTAAGTTAATTTGGGGTAGTTATTGTACTATGTTAATGGGAAGAGCAATGCTTTGAAATATACTCAAAATTGTTGGTCTTCCGGTAACACCATTTGAGTATTTTAAACAAAATTTATTATATTTTTATGAATATTTTACACAAAGTAATCTGCATATTATTACATTTATAAATTATACATTAAATTAGAGACACATTTAAAGGTTTTTTCAAACATTTTAAATATTTAGTGCTTCATAATCTTTTAGTTCAATGATTTTAACAGGAAAAATAGATATTTCAGTACAGTAAACTACAAGCAATTTTTGAGTCATCACATTAACATAATTTCAATAGATACTCCTACAGTATGTATAGAGAACTTAAACGGTGTTTGGTTCCACAATAAAAGAAACATTCTGTATTTAAAAATAGCATTGCGTTACAGAAGAACAACCTGTTTATTTGTTTTATACAGCGTGGTCCGAACTGTATTCCGGAAACTTGGGCAGCAAATTCTGCAGTTAAAAATAAGTAAAAAGTTCGTAAGTCAACGTGTAAAATCGTTAATTTTCGGGCTTACTCAACCGGTCTCACAATGCAAATTAACTTCAAATATCCATTTAGTTGGTCATTGGCAAGCACTCTCTCATTGCACATGAAAATAACAAACAAACATTTACTGATCTGGATAAAATTGATAGTTAAATAGTAAGACCCACCCGGGGGTACTCCGCCCCTAGCCACTGACATCACTGACACTCTATTCAATATATCCCATTCCATATCTTCCATCTAATTCAAATATTATTCGGATCTATTGGTTGATAATCTTCAACAACTAGCTAGTGTCACCTGAAATAGTATAGAGGCTTCCCCCGGACGCAAATCTGCTGCTAAACAGATTCGCATCCTAATCGATGGGGCTAATTGGGGTCCTCACACAACGCCCCAGCGGTGTCAATCGAGAAGCAAGAGAGACCTCAAACTCTCAAGACCATCCTCGAAGGAACGACGTCACAAGAGGTTTTCTACTTCCATAGTCAAAAGACTACTTCCAAATGTCAGCTCTGTGACAAAACACAACACTACACGGCCGGCTGGCCCACAAAACACATACACAAGAAGAAGTGCGAGCGCCTTGCTAAATATTGAAAAGTGAAATTGACGTTTAAATTTGACACTGTTGACAAGTCTACAGCTACTAGCGCCCCCAATTTCGCTTGTAGGAACTACGGACTAAATTGTCACATGGCGGAAGTTTAAAATAAAAATTTTATTTCTTCATTTATTTTTAATTATGACACACAAAACACAAAATACACCATTTTTTAAAAATATGTTTAATATCATCAATATACAACAGAAATTAATTTCACCACAATAAATTAATAAAAATTAAAAGAATAATGTTACAAGTAG